TCCCCACGCTCTGAGACGCTGCCGCTGAGTGTCCGCGATTACTTATTCATCTCGCCTGCAAGGCAAACGAGATTTATTCGCAGTTAGCTTCACAGGGAAGACACTTTCCAATCCGTAACCTGCGGACGCGCCCAATAACGTACAGCTCCGCCACGGGACTAATGAGCCATGGGGGACAACAGCTAACTATAGTATAGCCATTTTTACCCTACACTGCAATGCCTTTTAAATGGAAGGAAACTCCCTTCTGTCGCCAAAGATGTTGCAGGTTCAAGAAGGCAGTTTAGGCTTTTGTAATGCGTAAAATGACTTCAGTTTCTATGCGCCCTTTGTTGCTGATTCGGCTACCAGGTAAGTGATTCGATCAACTACCTCGAGTTCCTCGTTATCAAGGGGTCATAAAGTGGCTAGTGATCCTGCATCAACACTTTTCACTTTGAAGGTGCGACGCGCATACTAATTAATGCGACCACTCTAGACAGGCCATTCTGGGTGGTTGTGCCGCTCCAACATCGTTAAACTGCAAGACAATATCGTTAGCATAGTCCAGATCAACTGCCCTTTACTAGGCAGGACCTCGACGTCTACCTCGTGAGATTCCGTGAGGGAACACTATATGATGGAGTCCACGAGACATTAAACAAAACCAGCGAAATCGGACAACCCTGACGAACGTCACTTGTTCTCGGAAAGCTGTCCGACTGGTCACCGTAGACCCTGACGCAGCCTGTGGTGTTCGTGTATAGAGCACGTAAGATGTTCACATATTCCGTGGAAACACCTTTCCAGGCCAGTATTTCAAACATAATGCATTGATCTACTGAATCGAGCACACCCTTCAAATCGAAGAATACAGCTATTGTTGATCTGCGGTATGCGTGGCGCTGTTCTAACACCTGCCGCTGAGTGAATATGTGGTTAATTCAGCGACGTCTGGGGCGGAAGCCTACCTGCTCTTCCCTAACCCGTGATTTTCGCTTCGCAGTTAAGCGACGTACGAGAATCGACGCTAATAGTTTTGTCACAACTGGCGTTAGGCTAATTCCCCTGTGCTTATCACAGTCCTTCTTGTATATTGCCCCTATAATCGATTCACTCCAGTTAGCCGGAACATCATCTTCCTTCCAGATGTGTTCGAACTGGGTGGTCGGTGCTTTGCAGAGGACCTCACCTCCATCCTTAACTAGTGCAGGTAGGAAGGAATCCGAGCCAGCAGCACGATAACGATTGACTGCTGTGATCGCGTTTCGGACTTCAGCCTCCGATGGAGCCCCTAAACTAACCGGCAGCAATGTATGATGATGATAGTCAATACAACAGTGGCACTCCGATACCAGTAGGTTTAATATCGCTGAGTAACCTCTCGTGATGAACTGTGCCAAAGCGTTATGCCTATCCACGAATAACAACGTATCACTCTTTTCTTTATATATGGCTTCCCACTCGCTTTGACTCGAATTATTTTTGTTGGCTGACTGACCTTCTCATGTTTCATCACTCTGACATTCTGAGTAGCGATTGCTTCTAAGGATGTACTTTGCGAACAGCTAAAAGAGTATATCAACTGCTTTCTTCTTTTCACTTACCTGTTTTAGACGGCAACTCTGAAAACAGTCCATTGGAACGGTGTGTCGAAGGTTCTCACCTTCCCATTCCTAACAAACCCTTTGTCGTAGACTCGCATTTTCAACATCCTTCGAAGGTCCGCTGAGAAAAAAATTAGTCAAAATTAGTAAACCATTAACCATGGTTTATTGACTCTGGGGCACTTGCCTTTGATTTTACAGGATTTATAACCAGTTCCACACTGTCCAATGCATCGGAACTACGGAAGTTGAGTACACACGTAGGGAAGATTACTTCATGGTGGTTGTTGTAAGTGGACGGAAACTCAAGCATTGGCTGGGTACCAAAAACGTAGTGGTCCACGGCTCCGCTCTGAGGATGAGGTGATGTAATTCACCGCGCATCTCGTTAATTGTCTGGTCTTTATTTTGTTTAATTTTAGAGTTGGATGGAAATGCGATGGCAATCCGTCTTCCTAATTTTCTACTCATTGTTTGGAAGTTGAGCTTCACGCAGAAATGCAGTGTTTGTCGGACTATGGTTGCAACGAATCTCGACCGGGAATGTACACTAGCCATTCTTAGTGCGTGGGTCGATAACGCGCTTTCCTTTTCGCCAATTCCTCGTCGCAATTCATTTCAATAGCTAACGACGGAGTACAAACGTCGGGGGCGTCGCGTTTAAGACCGCTGGTATACCTAAATTCTGTAGACTCCTTTCTAGCCTGATTTCACAGAAGTCACATCTCTAATTGATATTACTTCTTTCCGTAAGCATCACTGAATTTCTGGATGCTGCGGTGGTATCTACATCCGTTCTGTCACTTTATCATCTCTTTGATTAAAGTGGAACTTCTGACTGACTTTTAACGGAGTTATCTTCTGAGTCGGGCGATAGCTCCTTGTCAACGACACTACTCAGCGGATTTCATTGACTATCGACTTGCTTCTCCGAAAGATACTACTCTGCTCGTAAACTCTTCTACGTGGTTGCTAACAGATGATTACCTGAACTGTCCAAGCATGGAAGCAACCGGTCGCGGATCGCAGCTTTCACACAAGTACCAATGAGAAATGTAGTCACTCAGGTAACTTGGAACATGAGAAGGAGCATTCTATCTAATGAGCCGGAAATTTGTACGTGATGATTATAGCACGTTACATTACCTTCTTGCATACAGTCTTGGCAGATTTGATGTTGTATTTCTTCTTGATGTTTCATACTAGTAAAATGTTATCTTAAATTCTCTTGGCTACAATTAGACGTAGCTTTGTCAGATTCGCATTCCCCACCTACTTAATATGAGTTGTTTGCTTGGTGTTAGCTCTTGCGTCATTTCTTGAGTTGCTTGAAGCATGGAAGTCTGGAATTTGTGAGCCATCCTTCTTTATGCGAGATAAATTTTCAGTCGTAAGTTTCCTTACTTCGAGCATATAGTTAATGTAGGATCAAATCATTGTAATTCAATTCAGGGCACTTCATTAAGTGGTTATTGACTTGCACTTAACTTGTTTAGCTACCACGTCGGGGGGTCAGGCCTGTCAGTACATCAAAAGGATTTACGGCTGATGTGTTTACGATTTCTTTTGATCGCCTGATAGTGGTATCGACTCTGAGCCGCGAAGACGCCTCTTACGATGCTACCTTTATCGCGAATCAGAGGGGTATTGATGTTTGGCTCATTTTTCCTATTTCTCAATGTTTTGTGCATTCAATCACCAGCAATTTCGCGGAATGCACTGGCCCGTGTCGGATTGAATTACGTAGCACGCAATCTGACTTAGATCAGTTCTACTATAGCGACTGACATCGACTTCTGTAGCCGAACGCGTATTGGAGGGCTTACCTGCTTCTACAGCCAACCATTTTGATATGTTTTGTTGACAGTCTACCTAATTTTGCCAACTATCCGTCGATAAAGATTATGGACAATCTTTCCTTGTTCGTTTTTGATGACCGCATGCCTCATTTACTAGTTGCTTAGGAACATCAGGAATATGCCTTTACTTTCCTCTACGCTACCACTGAGTTACTTTAATGTGCTATAGTTTCTCGGCATTTTTACCGTCATCCGTAAAAGCCCTTTCGTTCATAAAACACGCTGTTACAATTTTTCTACGTTTATTTCTTCTCCTATCCATTTGCCACTGACACAACACACAGTTCATTAAGCCTATGTGATCATGTTTACCACGGCAGATTTCCTTCATCTGGTTAATCTACCTAACTCTATCCACTTGTTTTCGGCGATTCGTTGCTCTGTCATTCACTCTGGGAGTACTGCAGCATGCGGTCATATGACCATCTCTTCGTGAGTTTCGCAGCCACGGGCCACCTTTATTCTTATGAACCGAGTGTGTGCTCAACGCAGCGAGGTGGACTACACGGTACATTGTCGCTGTCGTTTCGTGGGTGCTTATCCTTGTTTCGCATTTTTCCTAGGCTTTACTGGTTCGTATGCCTTCGCTACTGACTCCACTTTGGACAAGCTATGGTATATGTTCCATACATCAACACTAAACTGATTAAGACACCTATCAGACACCTCTAAAAAGTGCTGAAGAACTATTTTATCCTTTATTCTATGTTCTTTCATACCCATCTTCTCTTTATGTCCTTAGTCACTGACTCACGAGTTCATTGCTTCTCCGGATGTCCGATAACCACTTGACTGAGTCTAATTGTAATAAATTCAAGTTGTCGTCAACGATGCGTCTGCATGTGGTCGTGTGCGGCTGCGTGTGAGCCACTGGGTACCGGCATATGTGAACTCCGCACGGATGCTGTTCGCGTCCGTCAACTTGACCGGCTGTTGCAGGGTGCGTTGCATTTTAGCCTTATCGAGGTTAAACGCTGCTCAGCTCTCAACTCTCGCCAACTGTTTACGGAGGTCAACCGGTCTTAGCTTTGCACATCTAATTGTGTCGGTCCTGAAACGACGGTGATACCTACGTGGATCATTTGCGTACCTAGAGCATTCATAACGGGATTAGCACTTACGCGACAGCTTGCGGCTCACGTTCCTCCAATTCACCGGTCATCAACGTTACATAGTGCCCAACCCAACGGTAGCTTCGGGTACTCACTCTAAACGGAACTTAATGTGGTGCAAATGCCCCCGCGCTCTATTTGCCTGGCATTTTCATCATTTTACTATGCCACCTTTGACTGCTCGCCGCTCTGACCTTTTACTATTCGACAACTATCCCCATAGTTCTGTTTTGATTACTGATGTGCCTAGCCACCAACCATCGGCTCTCTCACAATACTAAAATCACTCAAACTCACATTTTCATCGGCCGTAGGGATTGCATGTAGACTTGTCGGAACTTTCGACGAATGGTTGCGCCACAAACCACTGACTGAGGCATTCTGCTGTTCATTCCACGAATTTTACACCATATTCAAATAACTTTGCAATCATATCTTGCCATATGTTGCACGGTTTCTTTGCATTCTACTTACAATATCTATTTAGACTAAGTCCTTCGTTTGTCCTTTCGCATAATGAACTTTTTTCTGCTCGGCTTCAGCTAACTTGCATGGCTTCAGATGACCATTTTTCACCGCCTGTATCACCAAACTTGAACGAACATAAATCGACCACAAGTCACGAATCGCCTGCCCGGCAGTCGCCAAAGCTCTCCAGCATATCTGTCCCTGAGGCCACTGACGGCAAACCGTCTACGTCCACTTCGTTGTGTGGTCCTAATGATAACAATCATACTCGAAAGATTCTTCCACGTGTATTGTCGCCCAGCTTGAATGCTGTGTCCTCAATCCGTGCGAACTCTATGGCTGCAATGAGGCCATCACTACACCCAACAAGTGGCCTACGCATTATGCGGCCTGCATTTCAATCGCACGCTGATTTCGCTTTTGATTTCGATGCAGGTAAGGTGTGAATTGTTGAACATTGGTTATCCTGATCGTCTAATGTTCCGTCCCGTATACTTCGGTCGTATGCGTGGTTCTATTTTCACATATCTTGTCCGAGTCTGAATGCTTGACTTGCACCAATATTCTATCCACTCGTGCTTTTCCTGACTCTTGAACACAACTTCGTTCATTTGCCCTTGACTGTCATTTTCTGACCGTTCGTGTGTCAGCCGCTTAAGTCCACAACTGTTGGCTTTCTACTGACGCTGAATCTATGGAAAGTAACTGATGATTGAGCTCTCTGAACTATTTGAACTCTGTGTTTCATTCGCAAAATCTTAAATTTATTAGTCAGCTCTACCTTCAAATCTCATATTGTTTTATGCGATGCGATGATAACGAGTCAGTAATTGCAACCTTACAGGCTGGGCTAACGAAGTAGATGCTTCGACTAACATTCTAGTGGTTCCGGGTTCGATTCTCTCTTGATGAGTTCAAATAAAGGTAACAACAGTACGTCGATACGCAGTACCGACGCTTCGCTTCCGCGCAACCACCACCGGTTGCACGTGGACCGAGGATACTGCGCGGGTAGCTCTGCCCCTATGCAGGCTCGAACCCGCGCCTCCAGATTACCGGACAGACTCGTTACCTTTGGACTACGGGCTATAGTCAAAACGTATCGTGGAGTGCAGTGTCTTTGGGCGAGCACGCCAAATTTCCATCTGATTCAGCCGTTACGGTCCCAGTGATCGAACTGACCAAGGTTCACCTCACTGGGAATCGCGGTCCGCATTGGGATTGCGCTTCGCTATCCATTCACACATCAGATGTTTCGAAATGATCCTCTAACTTTGCAGATTCTTTACTGTGGAGAACTGTGTACTTGCGCACTCTTTTGCCCTCTCTTGCCCTCTTTTGTGACTACTGGCTTCAACGCGCTTCACAGCTTTCAACCTTTTCGACTCTGTAGGCTGAAGACATTTTATGCAGGAACCACTTGCCGAATGGCAATGATATTACATCCATGCTGGGTGGCACCTTATTGTGTTGCGTTCATAGTTCTGCTTGTTTCATTAGAGTTGTCTAAAGAGTACCATTGAACTGCGATCCTGGTCGTATGTGCGTGCCTATATCATATACCTACGTAATGTCGTCGTGGTCTTCCATATCGGCGATTTTTTACCCTGTTGCATTTGATGCAATCACACAATTATCCATTCGTCCCTTTATTTCTCCTCCTCGCTCAGTACTTCTGACATTGCTGTTTATTCCGATCGCACCATACTTGTCATCTTATTTTCTTATTATTATATTGGCATTGACCGGGCAAAACGGATTCTTGCACATTATTTTTCACCTTCTTTCGTCTTTATGCAGCTTGCCATCTGGATCTAACTGTTTCGGAATACCAATCTTATCATTTCTTTTGGTGGAATTCGTTAAAATGACTAGTTCCACGGCTCTGCATTTCGTCGATGACAGTTGGTTAATTAAATTGTACATGCTACTGATCTTTGGCTTAATCTTTAACCTGACCACATCAGCTAATGTTTTCTATCATCTAACTGACAGATACTGTACACCAGCAACACTGAATTTCTCAGCCAGCATTTCTCACTTTTCTCTGTGTCAACATCCTATAGCCCTACAGATGGTGGACAGCTAAATCTAGGAATGGTTGGGGATGCAATATTCCATAGCTGGCTAGCCGAACAACGTTGCGGCACAGTAGCTGAGGTGTTCCCCACCACTAGCTAACGTGTATGATGATGATGATGAGGCGAACAACGTCCACGTGGTGCCAGCTGGGTGGTTCGGGTTACTTCCGGTCCAGCTAGTAGTTCGGCAGCAATGTTCCAAGACGTGGTGAGCTTTCGCCTAGCAAGGGTTCTACCTATTAAAAGCAACAAATGTCTGCTTAACACCATTGTGATGGGGTGGATATGACTCGCCACTAAAGTGACCACTTCTTGCCATACCGGAGGATCTTATCCATTTCGCGAACGTCAACCACTTCAAAGATTTCATCTGATATTGGCGAATCCACCGAACAAACTCACAAATTCACAACTATAGTAGCAAATTCGCACATAATGACATATATATATATATATCCAGCAGGTACTGGTTAACTTGTAACGTTTCTGTACCATTAATGATGTTACGCGTTTGTATTACCATAATTATGCCCTTGATGGCGAGTCTCGCATGGTCGAGAATAAATCATTTATTTACTTTTTTAGTTCATCCATCTCGCGTCCGTTTGCGAACTCATCCCGATTGATTTCAGATGTGCTCACTGGATGAACAGCGATGTTTTGTGAGCACAGGCGATCTAGACTAAGTCATCGCCTCTTGTCTCCGGTGCGCATTCGATTCCTTTGCTAAATGCAATGCTGCTAATTTTTATGCAACATGTTACATCTTTTGCAACACTCAAACCTATATCTCACCGTTCCCACTACTGGCTAAGATTTCGGAGAGCCATCTCGGTCCTCATGTAGATGGCTATTCTTCTTTCTGTCAGGTTCCGCAGTACAGTCACCCTGTTGACTTTAGCTTTTGGTGAAAATCTAAAATATCATCGCTCGTCACCCCAACATCGTTTTCCGTTTCGGTACTTGTTCTTCACCCTTTTTTCCTATTGTACGTGCTCTTATGCATCAGTACTTCCACTAGGTCATTGCTATTGTCATAAGCATCACCTATCAGTCCTACTCTCAATACACTCATTTCAACGTGATGCATTCTGTGTAAGTACATTCGTTGATCTCCCGGCTTGCCGCTGCATTGGTGGAATTGATTTCTGTTGGTCGCAATCAAAACGCGATCATTGTCTGTGTGCATTCTTTTCGTATCCATCACCTTCCACTTCGATGTCGTTTAGATAAAATACGTAAACACTTAATCTCCTCCGAATTTCGTCCTTTAAGGTCTTTATCGAGCCATACACGCCGTAGAAATCCAGAGTATCTTCCTGCTTGGATCTAACACGTCTTTCAATTTACTGGTGATTTGACTTGTTCAATTCTCTGTAACTAACAGCGCCCATCCTACAATCTCATGATTCTACGATGTGACACAGGCATGTGCGACCATTTGGTCGCTACGTCCATCACTGCGAGCCTGTTGCTCACTTGACGTTGCTATTGCAGCCGTATCGAGACCTCTCTGCATTTGCTTATTGTCAGTCACATCATCACAGAAGGAATTGTAGTTTTTTTGAGTATTTGAAATCAAGTCGATTTTTCTACTCTATCAGAAAAGAAAGGCATCAGCAGTACACCGGTAAGCAATACCGACGCTTCGCTGCCGCGCAGCCACCACCGGTCGCACGTGGGCTTAAGATACTGCGTGGGTCGCCCTGCCCCTACGCAAGCTCGAACCCGCGCCGCAAGATTACAAGACAGGCTTGTTACCTCTAGGCTACGGGCCGGCATAATGTGTCAGCTGTACGCCATAACGGCGCTTCGCTGCCGTGCGACCACCACCACTCTCACGTGGGCTGAGCATACCACGAGCACGCCCACCCCTACGCGAATTGGAACCCGCTCCGCAAGATTACGAGACAAGCTCGTTATCTCTAGGCCATTCTATGTCCTAGCTGATGATTTCTTATTTGCTTGCGGTGCGAATTCTCGTTTCCCAGTGAGGATTTACTGAATCGCCTAGTCCATTTCTGTCTGTTGTTTTATGTTTTCCTGCACCGTAGTTTTGCTGAACATTTCCTCCAACAATGTCACTCTTGCTCTGACTGCTTTAATCCGGCTGATCCAGCGAACAACCTTTTTTTCTTTTTGCTGCTTTATGTCGCTTTTGGTCCTTCTTGATATTCCATTGATAGCGCATCTGTTCATCATTGACCATCTTACTCGTCAAGAAGTTCGTGCCACTACTGTGTTTAAGCAACTTCTAAGACGATGCAGCGACTACACGAAGCCTAGGCTAAATTATTGCACGAGACGGAGTAGGAAAACTGTAAGCTATTTAATCTATACTATACACACAGTCTGGGCAGAGGAAACAAAACGTAAATTGCTGTTAGCATAGTTCTATAATTCAAATTAAATACCATCGTAATGAAACTGGGCAGACACTGGAAGACGTGTGGCGGCGTGCGAAAACGGTACTGCATAGCAGTAACGGTAGTCTGTCAAAGGTGAGGTACGAGGGCTGGGCAACAAGTTTCTGGATACGCAGTACACAGGTTAAGTACAGATGATATGGCAGGATACATGTGAACGGTACTCCATTCTGAACATTGTCCAATGATTTTAACTCACGGAACCCTATATCAGCAGTCCAGCACAACTCACAAATCATAAGGGTCACTATACTCTGACTGTAAGTATGGAACTCAGTCGATGCCACTGGTGTGCGATGATTTTCTATGACTACAAATGGAGTTTAAAGCAGCACCATAGTGTTGCACGACTGCGTGCTGCGTTTGTTAATGATGCGCCTTCAAGAACCACCGTGTTTGAGTGGTTTGCGAAATTCAAGCGTGGCAGGCGATCCCTGGATGAAGAAGCACGGGGTGGTCGACCTGTGGCGGCCACCACCCCTTACAACATTTTTGCTGTGCAAGCTATGTTGTAGGAGGACGCGCGGGTGGCCGTGGTACTACCGGGGAAAGCCATCGGGATCAATCCGCACCATCCTACATGAGAACCTCGGCCTCAGAATAGTTTGCGCACGCCGAGTAACCTATCAACTCATTGCGGACCGAAAAGCAGATCGAGTGTATTGGTGCCGCACTATACTTGTCAGCTTTGATGGTTAAGGTTCCAATGCTGTTTCGGAGATCATCAGTGCTGCTGAGACTTGAGTGTACGGCTTCGACCCAGAGACCAAGCAACAATCGCATCAGTGGACGACCGTTGGTGGGGCGCCGCTTGAGAAATTCCGGCCTTAGTGCATTGTGACCAAACAGATGGTGGTTTTGTCCGTGAACAAGGCCGGTCATGTGGCCAATGTACCGCTCATGCATCAACGCACAGTCACAGGAGACTGATATTCCCCCCACTATCTGCCACAAGTGCTAGAAGTTGTAGTCTGGTGTCGTCCAAGAACTCGAGGAGGAGGGAACTTGCTTCACCATGACAGCGCACCTGCACACAGGTCCCATGTCATCGTTGCTTTTCTGGCTAGAGAACGCATCTAGGTGGAGGGTAGCCGCCCACCTTCCCGTCCAGGTCTGGCTCCGTGTGACATTTTTGTTCCTAAACTTCGAGTGCATGATGCGTGAAACCCGCTATGAGTCTCTAGATGCTGCAGTAGAGAACATTCTTGAGCTGCTTGCAGTGTTACACGCCTTGGCATGGTCTAACTCTTTCTCCAAATGGACTGTGCTTATAGAAATGTGCATGAACGCTAATGGAGAGTACTTCGATAAAATGTAATGCTTATTTTGTTGTTAAAAACGAAACATATTGTGCATCCGGAGAGTTATTATTTTTCTCTTGTATTTGACTTTGATGCGAAAAACACTGTTTTATTGTGCATTTGTTCAAAGCAAACTTATGGCAATACCTGTTCTAACCTAAAAGTAGGGTTTTGGAATAGGGATCTCATGTCCTGAAATATGTAATCCAGTTTTGCAGAATAATCAAAGTTCTCTTTGGAGTTTACATGCTACATGGCTTTTTGGCAAATTAGCCGAATAGTGGTTTTGCAGGGGACAGATTATCAACGAATGACTCCCCACTTTTAATTGGTCCAGCTTGATCCGTCTAACCATGCCTCCCGCGACCTATTTCGTCGACTTGAAAGGTTACTGTTATTGCTTGCATTCCACCGATTGTGTCCTGTAACCAACTTCCTTGATATTCCAACATCAGCGTCATTATGCTTCAATGGGTCCACGGCTTCTTTCTGTATACCACTAACGCTCTATGCCCACTTTATTTTTCTTCGACGCAGATGGTATTCTGCGCAATTTGCACACCGGAGAGCCACTATCTACGAAAATCAATTTCACTGGCGCTTCTCTCAGACGTCAGGAATTTATCCGTGCGGTGGGTTTTTTTTCCCCTTCATGTGCTTGCGTAAAAACGCAACATGCCCCTCTGAAACATCTCCAACCAGATATATATATATATATATATATATATATATATGTATATATATGCTGAGCACAATCTGTGCGCCTGTCTTGTATTTTGCCACCATAATCGATTCATTCCACTTAGCTGGGACACTCTTCCAGATATGTTCGAACTGGAAGGTCGGTGTATTGCCGAGGACCTCACCACCATCCTTTAAGTTTGCAAAGTTGTGGGAATCCGGGCCAGCAGCATGAAAACGATTGAGAGCTATGGTCGCGTTTCGGGCCTCAGTCTCCGATGGAGCCCCTAAACTAACTGTCCATTGCTCGTCGTGCATCACCTGAGTAGGAGGAGGTCCGACAGCAGGTGGCCAACTGAACTGATCTTGAAAGTGTTCCACACAACGAGCCATACGGCAGTGCTTTTTGTGTAGCAGTGCTTCCGCGCTGTCTTTGGTTGTCTCAGTGACGCCTGGTTTCCTGGGACCGGTTGTGCGGATCAGCTGAGAGAGATTGCGATAATTGCTCACTGCTCCTGCCTCTTCCATTTTTTGATCCCTACTGGTCCACCAAGGTTCCTTGTCAGCACGCAGGCTCCGCTTTAGTTCGCGCCTAATAGTCCGTCTGCTCACATTGTGCTCAGAACCAGCTGGGAGTTTTCTTCTGGATTCCAACAGGTTCAGTGACCTCTCGGATATTTAGTGACTGTTGCGGTGACGATTGATAGTGCCACAAACCGATGATGCTGCATCGTGCATGGCGGCTAAGATCCTATTCCACTTAGGCTCCGTGTCATTAAGACAAGGCAGCGAAAGTTCGGTACTCAGTGCGTCTTGATAGGCTTGCCTGATCGGGGGATGAGACAATTTCTCCGTTGTCAATCGGGGGAGACGCTTGGTGCGCCTCTCGGTACATTTCATTGGAAACGACAGCGTACCAAGGCATGATCAGAGTCGACGCAGGTGTCCTAAAACGAGCGACAATCCAGGATGGAACCACCTTACGTTTAACTTATTGCAACGTGATCCATTTGCGTCCATCGCTGGCCAGCTACAGGAGGACGCCAAGTGGCACTCCGGCGCTCACTGTGTCTAAAAACAGTGCTGCTAAGAAACAACTGGTGCTCTGCTCACAGTTACAACAGACGCTAGCCGTTGTCAGTCCTTTCGGAATTAACCCCATAATTCCCACCCAGTTGAGCTTCTGAAGAGCCCAAGCGCCTTACTTCTGCGTTCTTATTCCGTTGATATCTGAACAAATGACGTTGCGTCGTAGCGCGTTCAATTCGTGATCGAACTGCAGTGGGTGGGAGCATAATCAGAAATCACAAACAGCGTTTTGCACTACTTCTTGAGTGGACCTTATTTGATGTCATCAAATGAGCTGCACATGAACGGCTGTTCACCGGAATCCAATCAACCAATGATAAGACAGCTTTGGAGCTTAGAATGATACCAACACCAACTTGACCCTTGAGTGCTGCATCGACGTGTCCTGATGCGTGCAACTCATAATGAGAGGATAAGTCAGCTGCAGTTAATTCATCAACCCCATTATTGATCTTAGTTTCGGACACACAACGCACATCAATACCCAGTGTGCCCATGTGCGTGCGAGTGCAGTCTGTTGTCCTATTTGTCTTAGAGTGCGAGTGTTGAACGCGGCCAGGGAAACAGGGCAACGTGGCATTATAAGGGACTGTTGCCGATTGGCGTCCGATGGGTGTTGTGGGATGGTGGCTGCAGATGGTTCTACTCCATTGGCTGTTCGACTGCTGTGAATTAAGCTGGGAATTATAGGAGGTTGATAATGGGGATCGGTGTGGGAGTACGAGAACTTTTTGGAAAGGAAGGAAGTGAGGCGTCTGCCGTAACATGTTTTCGTTTATCTGCCCTGCTGTATGCAGCAGATAAGGAGACCCTTGCTACCCTGCCCGACGTCCGATTTTGGATGAAGTTTATGTTTGAGGAAGATGTCATGGTTGCATGTGGGCTGAGATACTGTCATGGCGCTCAGACCAAGGCAGGAGGACGATTAGGGTCTTCAACCAAAGCCTCTGGCTCAAACGCCTGTCCGCAAGGCAGTGTGTAGGTGGCAATGATTTAGTTTTACAGAAATGTACGCTATCCCATTTCAAACCACCAACCTGGAGGACCAGGAGACTGCGTTTGTTTGACCTCTCACCATTTCCCAGCCTAGTAGGAGTAGCTCTCAAGGTGCCCGGAGGCATCACCCAGTTAGCTCAATGGGTCAAAGAGGTACGTAAACCGTCGCACCACGTTAAGGTCCAGTCTCTTTGCGACGATTCACACGTCTGCGCGAAACCTTCGTGGTTAAAAGAAACAAAACCGAGACTCTGAATTTGATCAATGCTCAAAATGGCCATGATGTCTCTTGAGACTTTCACATAATCATGGTAGTGTCTGTGTGGTTCCTCGGATTGATGGCCTTTCTGTGGTGCTGTCTTTCGGTCGCTGCTTCAGCCTTCTCACATTCTGAGGCTATTTGGCGTCCTGTCACTCGTCACTTCCACACAGTGCTTCTCCGGTTGGATGTTCGCAATAGCCCCTGAGTGTTGCTGGAAGCGCAGGGGTCGTCTTCGAATTAAAAGCTTCGGGTAAACATGCTTGTGTTCTCCACGATTTTCCAAGTTGTTTATCAACAGTTCCTGCATCTGTTCGTTGGCACGCTCCACCCCAACCACCACCAGTCACACTTGGGCTAAGAATATTGCGAGCGTCGCCCAGTCCCTTAGAATGATTGTGGCCGTCAAGTAGTGACCCCGGCGTGGTCCAAACACTCAGCCTTGTGATAATGTTACTATATGCCGTTGTATCCGATCGCAGACATTCACTATTTATTCCTGGTCTATGCTAAAGTATGTCGATTGATATATTATCGTACTGCTGACCGTAGGTCATCGAATTGACGGAAACGTTTTGAGTTGTGGATCAATTCACTCGGATATCCTATTGAATCGAAGAGCTTGGACGACTCCGGATTTCCGTTTGAGATTATCCCCGAAGCATTAATTGCAATACCTTGAACAGGTTTTGCATGTTCGAGTGGCAATCCGAGGACATCTGGTACCTGGTGGTTGCTAGCACGCCAGCATGAATAAGTTATCTGCTTTCATGCTATATCATGTTCGACGTTATTCGCTTCTTCGCTCGCTTCTCATCAATACACGTTAACTGAGAGTGAAACAAACCTCAGCAGCAATACGGAAAATATGATAGATTGGACATCACAGAATATAAAGACAAAAGTAAGCCAATGCTAAAATTACCTGGTGCTTTGCGTTGAGATCATTCTTGAAGTGGGAAGGTAAAGGGGAGGAGAGAGACAAAGAGACTCATAACACAAACGCCCTTGAGGTCGACTCTTCGCCATGTCGGCTAGGGTGTTCAACCAAACGTGCTCAATGTCCTTCGGACGCCAGCACTGCGGTCGGGAAACACCAACGGACGCCAAGTTCAAAGTTCCTCTAGACCAAGTCACGGTGATTGAGTCTGCGACATCCTTTCACTTGTCGATGCTACGTACATTCTCCCCCAATGTGAGATTAATGCGCAACGCACACTCATACTTGCAGACTGTGGTCATTTTCACGGTCCTCGTCAATTGATCGTTGTAGCCTCGCTGCATCTGAGTGTCGATTCTCCGTCACTCACATTAAAAAGCTCAAAGGGCTTACGTCCAGTGACTGTCTATGACTTTGTACACACAACCGGTGCTGAGCCTGCTTGAATTCTGCTGCCTGCTTTATGTGCCGGAAATCTCTCGTACCCGATATTTGCTCTTGTTGAAGCAGACAGCAGCATTTTGCAGAAACGCGAGACTTCATCGGAGCACTTCGTCTGGGCGTTGCCCACCGTTCTGCTGGGCAAGATTCGTTTGCTTGGACGCATTAGATCCCACCAACCCTGTATGATTTTGTGCCATTGGGAAGAGTTGACTTGCTTGCATACAGGCACACTCATCCACTAGCTCTTCACCCCAGGGCTTCTGCATTTTCAAGATTTTCCGGTTGATACTCATTTTCTTTTGATTACTGGGATAATCCGGAGGTACGACGCAATCACGCCTTCCTGACCGTACATTAGTTCGGATCATAGTTGATAGACTTAGATGGACAAATTCACTGTCACCACTGTGCATACACAAATCTCAGCCGCTGTTGTCGCCAACACACAAAGGTGGAATAAACTTTATTCTTATGAAACAACACACAACTGTCCAAGTTAATGTCAGAATTACACTTATACATATCCGTGACTTGATTTAACTGATCGTGCCATGTTAGTCTACCGTTGTCCCTCTCTTCTAACTAAACATGACAACTCGTGGGGACTATCGAAATATATGGGCATTGCCAATCGTCATGTTCGTAAGGCTACGAGGCGTGAAGGCATATGAGCCACCTGGCTGCCAACAGCCCACATTCTCTTCTGCGAGTTGGTCTTGGGACTTTCTCCTGATCTCCATGTTGCGTCATTCGGGCTTCTTGGTGCTCCTGAATAGTTTGCTCCTACTCGAAAGCCGTATTCTCATCATCGTGGAAGTCGGCTGCCAACGGTATGCAATATAAGTCAATCGCGCCGCAGCCTTGCGGGTCAGGTCTTTAGACCAACATCTCTGGGTAGAGTCCCCTAAGTCAACCCTCTACCTCGGCCTGGTCAGCCTGGGATTTATAAGCCCACACAACATATGGGCCAATGGTTAAGCGACTTTCTGCTCTCTAAAAATGTTACCCTCGGCCAAGGTGCTGATGGTCGAACATGTTATATGGCGCTCTACGGCATCACCGTTCAGTTACTTTATCCCACGTTTGTTCAACCCTCCCATCTTTGGTAATCCCTCTCCATTTTCTACTCCGCAGCACTGTGGCTCCCTGGACGGGTTTTCTCCCTCTACGGATCAGGAATTTAGGTCTTAGTGTGCGCCGTCAAGCAAGCCTTTTCTAGCTCCTCTTTTCCAATTCAAGTTGGCAAGCTGAGGCAAATCCTTGCTCACACGCTTGAGACTACTGCTCTCCATGTCTGATGCGTCTCTGAAACCCGATTACATTACCGTGGCACGATAGTACGATTGGTTTCACTATCTGCGAGTTCCGCTGGCATTTTCACACTGCGCTTATCTGGAGACGCAATCGCCGAAGCTGCTGGTCTTGTCGGCTTAAGAATTGCATTGGGCGTACGTGCCGAGGCCGCGCTACTTGACTGGGTCCCTGTCAACAGTCGTCTCCACGCGAACCGACTTGAAACCTCAGTGTGACTGTTCAGCTGCGAAGCCAGCAGATATTGCTTATTCGTTGCAGCAGCCTATGCTTCCAGGGACTGCATCTCCGAGTCAGTTAAAGATGAGTTCTACTGTCAATCCTCCGATCTTCTCCAAAAGAAGCGCCGTACCGACATCGTTGTGCTTGCCGGTGACTTAAACACGCAGGTCTGCTGACTTCTGATTGACGTGCGCGAACTCAGTTGTCGACATGGACAGGGTACTTGCAGACCATATAACGGTGTTCGCCTACTTCAGGTCTGCGCTGACTAACTTTCGTTAATCCTGGTACGAACACGCCACTTGAAGGCCTTCATCACTTGATCAGTCATGGACACAAATTGACCACGTCGCCATCAGACATCACTGGCGGGGTTACATACAGGATTACAAATCGCTATGGAGTACGTTGGCTCACGAGCTTGCCTGTGCCGTGATCACACTACGTTTTGGTGGCTTCCAATAGCGTCGCCGCAAACGGCTTGACATGGTTAACTTTTCTGCCAACCGTGCCTTCTCAGCGTCTTTCACCACGCGTTAACATGAAATCTAAAGCGCACCCCATGCCCTGACGTGGAAATACACTGTGCACACATCCGCAGAGCCCTGCACAGCTTTGTTGCCTTGGTCTGTGGTTTCACCAGTATTTCTCTCAACCACTGCATCTCTGCACTATTCCTCCAGCTTCCCGAAGCTGTAGTGCATGCCTTCACCCGAGATGCAATCTTTAATATTGCCGCGAATCAATATTGGTGGTGAAGTACTGGAAGCCACATCCCGCCTCGGCTACCTTGGAAGTGTGATCTCGACTGATCAGCTGATACACAGTGAGCTGCGTATCCGCGTCTCAAAAGCAGCGGCGGCATTCGGGAAACTAGAATACTGAGTGTGGAACAACCATCAGCTTACCATTGGCACGAAGCTGATGGTGTACAAATCCATGGTGTTGTCCGTTCTTCTATACGGCATTGAAACGTGGGCGATGTACCGTCGGGATGTGCGATATCTCGAGCGGTTGCATCAGAAGTGATTGCGACGAATTTTGCGCATCGCTTGGGGCGCCAGAGTTGCTGACACGGAAGTGTTTCGACAAAGTGGGTTGTATGCAGTGGATTACATAATTTTACTGAGACACCTGAGGTTGTTCGGTCATGTGAGCTGTATGGATTCGACTCGGATACCGAAACAACTCTTATATGGTCAGCTGAGTATTGGGGAGCGGCATGTAGGGAAACCAAAACTACGTTACCAGGACATGATTAAAGTGAGCCTTTCATGTTCTAAGCTTGATTGCAGATTATGGGAATCGAAAGCGGTTGATCGGCGCTTATGGTGCGATCTCATCACGAAGGCAGTTGCCGAAGTGCTGGAGAAAGACCTCATGCATGCAGAGAAGAAGAGGCAAGCACCGATGGGTTGTACTCCATCGACATCGAGCGCATGGTGCTGTAGCGCATGCGGTCGCGATTGTCTGAGTCAGGCAGGTCTAGTGAGCCATAGCGAGGCCACTCGGAACGATTACCGAAGCTACAACGTGTCCTGCAGAGAACGTAGGCAGAACCGGCGCAGCGTTTGTAGGTATGCTGCAATCGCTTCACTAACCGCGTGCTTGCATGCTGTC